CCCGCACATTACTATCTGCGTGTTTGCTCATTTGCACAAGGGTTTAGGAGAAAAGAATACGTGTCGATGGGTGGACAGTTGCAGCGAGTCCGTCAAGTTTATCTGTGTCATCCGAGAGGGCCGGCGGGGCAGGCTTAATTTGGAGGGGACACTTCAAAAAGAGCTGCTTTGGCCGCCGTCGAAAGGCAAACAACATTTAGCACCTCAGCGCCTTGTGCTAATGACAAACAAGCTGCTCGGATCCACATGAAAGAGGGGCATCCTCGGGTCTCCATCAATGACCTTTTCAAATACACTTCCTCCGCACACAAAAGAGCACACCATCCATCTCCCCGGAGGAGCAACGTGCTACCCAGGCCCATTCACCGGCGCTCACTCTAAATATGAATGCAAGGATGGGGGAAAAGTTTTTCTTCTCAACTACACTTGAAACAAATACCATAAATAAGTCAAAGAGAAGGAGGGAGGGATAGGTGTACATTACATGACTTCAAAGGCTCGCACTCTTCCCCCATAGTGCCCAGGCAGTGTGCTTATTTCCAAGGTGCTTATTCATGTGTGCAGACTTGGGGCTACATCACTCATCATTACCCGAGGGACACTTAACAGTTTCCTCCGAATTAAATAAAAAAAGAAAAAAAAAGAAAAGGGAGGGGGGGTTCCAAACAGATCCCGGAGAACTTGAAACTGACGGAGAGGATATTTCCGACACGACGGCGGTGACCTCGCGTCACCCCCATGGGCTGTGTCAATTAACCTCCTATTTTACAGTTGGCTGCCTTGTGAGAAAATACACACCAGCACAAAGGCTAAGGATCATCAATTATATCATAAAAAAACAACAGAGAGGCCTCACATAAAAAAGGTCACCCATATTACTTTATTTGACTATCTCACGTCAGACGGTGACATTTATATATCAAGTCGCACATCAGCGCCACAAGATAATGTGGTTGTCGATGATGTCACATTTTCTTGCGTTACATATTTTTCGCTGTATGTTCGAAAGATTATATTTTGTTGTATTATATTATAATTTCAGTTGATTTTCTTTATAAGGCTGGGGGACTTATACTGACTAAATTAATGGAATAGAGAAATGTTATCATTATTATTTTACAGTTCAATTCCCTGTAGTTTCTCCTGTTCTCCATATTCCTAATCTCGGATCCTGTATTGATTATGGCGTCTTCAGGGACTGCCTCTGTTTTCAAAGGATATGGGCTTAGCTCTTATATCAAATGGATTGTTTTCTTTTCTTTTCTTTTCTTTTCTTTTCTTTTCTTTTCTTTTCTAAGACAACATAAGGTGTAAAAATAAAAGATTGAAATTCAAGCATATTTGTTGACATAAATACTTTTAATAATATTTTTATATAATTAATATTTTTATATAATATTTTTTATATAATATATATATATATATATATATATATATATACACAGTATATAATAATCATATAATTATTTTTTTTTTAAAGGAATGCATCACAGAGCTGTTGAACTGTAAAATAGTGAACACAAACGGGACCAAATATAACATTTGTGATAATATTTTAGTGTGTGAACCATGTGGTATTACTTTATCAAATGAAGAAGAGGTTGTGTTAATAGTACTACATAGCAAATTAATTCATATGACTCATTTATATACCCATATCTCAGTTTTATTTTATTTTATTTTATTATTATTATTTTTTTTTAATCTATGGTTCCATGAAAAACCTGTAACACCAATTTAACCTTTCAATTCCATAAAAGGTTATATCATGGGAAAAGGTTCTTTAGTTTATTAAGATATTATTCACACTAAGAAATGTTTTTAATTTTTATTTTTTATTATTATTATTATTTTATATTGACTTTTAACCACCTGGCCTCGGGTGATTTTTCAACACAGGCTCATTGGAAAAAAATACCTGGCAATATTTTTGCAAAATGCAAATTACATACTATGAACATATCACTTCAGTTTCTAACAGAAATTAACACTAGAGGCTGTAAAACAGCAAGTACTTTTAAACTTTTTCACACACAATTATGATTACAGGGACAGATGGCAGATGCGCTCTGTAAATACATTAGTCAATGACCCTTTCAAATACACTTCTATAAAGACATTTTCACACGACTCCTTGCACAATTATGAAGATATTTTGAAGAATGTTGGTAACCAGACAGTTGATGAACCCCACTGACTTCCATAGTAAGAAAATACTATGATCCATCCAAATACTATGGTCCATCAACTATCTGGTTTGCAACATTCTTTAAGATATCTTCTTTTGTGTTCAACAGAAGAAAGGAACTTGGTTTGGAACAATATGAGTATAATTTGACACCAGTAGTTGCTGATGTCACTCTGTAAAGAAACATACACGACTACGCACCTATACACTTACCTAAAGGATTATGTTCAGTTTCTCATTAATGCAATTATCTAATCATCCAATCACATGGCAGTAGCCGCAATGCATTTAGGGGTGAGGTCCTGGTCAAAACAATATCCTGAACTCCAAACTGAATGTCAGAATGGGAAAGAAAGGTGATTTAAGCAATTTTGAGCGTGGCATGGTTGTTGGTGCCAGATGGCGCCAGGTCTGAGTATTTCACAATCTGCTCAGTTACTGGGACTTTCACGCACAACCATTTCTAGGGTTTACAAAGAATCATGTGAAAAGGTAAAAACATCCAGTATGTGGCAGTCCTGTGGGCAAAAATGCCTTGTTGTTGCTCGAGATCAAAGGAGAATGGGCCAACTGATTCAAGATAGAAGAGCAACTTTGACTTTTTTGACTATTTTGACAACTTTGACAACTTTGACTATTTATCCAAAAGCATATCTTTAAAGGGACAATGTGTATGAATTTCTCCCATCTAATGGTGAAACTGTATTTTGCATTCAAACGAATTGTGCTCTCCAGTGCCTCGCTTTTTCAAATGCGAGTTGCATCTACGGTAGCCGTTATGTACCAAAAAGCTATGACAGGATGTCTTCTACACTCTAAAAAATGCTGGGTTGTTTTAACCCAATTTTGGGTCAAATATGGACAAACCCAAAATGCTGGGTTAAAAATGTAATGTAAAAATTTAACCCAACGGCTGGGTTAGTCCATATTTGACCCAAAGTTGGGTTAAAACAACCCAGCATTTTTTAGAGTGTAATAGCACTTCGTCTAGTTTTGCTTCGGGTTTGTTTTTCAAACAAACAGCAACTTGACACAACGAACAAATGAATGTTACAGTATGTATTACTTAAGTGCATTGTTAGATATCATCACCAACGACAAGCGCCTCTTACTGCTCTACTCCTCCGTTTCTGCTGCGTTCAGTAATGTCATGCTGGCTCTGAATGAAAAACACTTTGTGGAAACGTGTTGGCCTAGTACGTTTTGTCCCTCTCTGCTATTATAGTTTTTCAAGATGGCGGAACTACATGGAAGCCTCCGTACATATATAAAGATAATAAATTCTTTGTTTACGAGGATAAGTCAGATAATTGGCAGAGGTATTTGTACACCATTTAGGACATATTTAAGAATAAAAATATTGATTTTAAATAATAAAATACATAAAAAAGTACACATTGCCCCTTTAACAGCTTGCTTGGACTTGAAATGGGTTATTATTAATTTGGTTTATGATGAGGTTTAGCCACTTAAAGTTTGCACAGAGATGATAATGACATAGTTTCCAAAAAGTCAAAGTTATAGTCATAGTTTCTTGCACTTTGATACCCATTTTATAAGGTTTGCGTTTTCAGTCGCTCAAAACGCTGTTGTCTTATAAATGAACAGCCAAAATGCATAATTTTTTTCCTGTTGAAAACGGTTTTGTGTAAATGGCCAAAAAAAAAAAAAAAGTCAGTTCTCTTCAAATTCACACAGATGTCCTTTAGAGTAACAAGGTGTAGCTCATCACATGAACTATGTTACATCAAGATTTTCTCATCAGTTTTAGAACTCAACAGCACACACAACCATTTCAGTGTATAGAAAGGAGAAGCATGAACAATATTATTCCCGTTTCACTGAAAATAGACAATTATACTGATTTGGAACAACATGAAGGCGAGTAAATGATGACAGAACTTATATTTTGGGTTGAACATACGGTCATTGCTTGAGACTGAGTGAAGTCTTTGAAACAGACTACAGAGAATCTTATTATCAGTCAAACACTGTTCCACGCTGAGAGACGCTCCTAATCTCATCTACAAGAACAGGTGTTTCCCATCCAAACAAATGTGTTTAGAGTAAGTGGAGACTTAAAAACAACAATTGACTTAAAGCTGAACTTAAACCCATTCTAAACATAGCCTGAGATGTTAAAAATAACTTGGCACATATTTAGCAAAATTGACAAACTAATGGAAATTGATTTTATAAAAAAATATACAGTATGCACCGGAATAAGCTGACACATAGCAATAAACATGTACCAAACATTTACTATTTTTCTGCATTGCTATTTCTATTTGATCAAACCCCAACTGAAAATATTAAACCACACAACGTTTTTATTTATTTTTCCTTATTCCCTGAAATCCATTTCAATCCTTTAATTATTTATTTAATTTTAAACAACAACACACCCCCACCATGCACTCATGGCCCGTCTGCCGGTTGATACAATTAGTTTTATTGAATGCATAATCTATAAAAACAATGAACAAATCCTCTAATACCATTACATTTAAAGTGTCTTTATAATATGTGCTTTTTTATTACATAGTTTACTTTGTTTTATGCAGAGCTTTGTTAATCAGAAAAAAATAGAGACTTTTAACTGCAACTCTTCCTTTTTATTTTACGAATGTGTCATTGTAACCCTGTAGGCTACAATTTAACAAATTAATTTTGTGTAAAAGTGTAAGAAAAATTATAAATCCAAAAGAAATGCATGTCAGTGTGATGATTGACATTTGAGTGATTTGTCCAATTAAGTGAGGTTATGTTGAAGTCCCGCCCCACCACGTTAGTTGCTGTATGATGGAATCCATTTTCTTTTCTCTGCGTGATTGTGAGATGAGCAACAGCATAACTTTGTATAAATCGTCAGAGAGGACTGAATAAGAGACATTTATGATACATTTTCTTTGGATTTGGTGAGTACACGTTTTAAAATGTGTAAACTTTCATGAATATGATTGTGTACTGGTGTGTTAATTTGAGAGTGAATGTATTTCTGTGTCAGTATGAAATGCTGATAAGATCTGATGTTAATGAGTAAAAAGTGTTGTAATGGTTAATGTGTGAGTTCGTAATGTTCATATTTCATTGTTGATCATATTGAACTAGTGATTTTGTTTATATTGCATAATGTTATCTAAGCTGTCGAATTACGATGGAAATGTTGCTGTTAAATGCTGAACAGGAAGTGTTACTGTTTTTTTGTTTATTAGACTAAAAGTCGTGAATTTAATGTGTGTTTTGAACTAAATGCTGCCTGTTGCACATGCAGGTCAGGTCATTATTCTACGCTGGAACTGCGTTCATTTCAGCGTTATGATCTACAGTAAGATGGCGAGCCTTCCCAGCGAGATGAAGTCGATTGATGTGTGATTTGATTTGATCCAACACCGTGGAATTCGGTAGGAATGCTCTGATTGCCTGCTAGCTTTTTTCCTAAACGGGACCGAACTTTATTTTGGAAAGTATTTTGTTTTCCGGTGAAAAAAGATCTCTGGAACTGTTGAATCACTTTTCCGCGGTTCAAAGGACCTTTGGACTTTTCGAACTGAATCAACGGATCGAATCTTTTAAATCAAATTCGTCTTAACCGATTTGAAGTGAACTTTTCCAATTCAACCTTTGTGAACTGAACAGGTCGAACGAGTCTTTTTACTTGATTCAATTGAATTAATTTCTTCTGAACTGTTGTTTTGCAATTTGTTCATTCTTTTGTTCATGAATGTGATTTAGTGAATTTGAATTTTTGAATTGTTTATTGATCCAACAATCAGCTATCTCATATTCATATGAGTGCTGTTCTTCCTGTGGTCACTATTAGGCTACATATCAATTTTTTACAAAATAAACATACATTCATACAACAAACTAACCATAAACCTTACAACAAACATCCATAAACAAAAAATTATAAATATTGAGTAGGACAGGAACTGAAAAATATTCCTTAATTTAAGTTGGTTAAATTTTAAATCAACATCATGAACTAAGACTGGCCGTGAACTGTCCATTTTTTCCAATTGTGAACATTTATCACTTTTTATGGGGTTGAATTTTTATGTAGTATTCAACTGAGTGAACTAACAAAAGAGCCAAGTGAAATTTTCCGCTAATGGTGAATTGAAGTGAATCCCTATAGCCTAACTGGGTTTGCATTGAACAGTTTTTTTTTTTTTTTTTTGGAATATCAACAGTCCTTCATTTAAATATAAAGATTTACTTTATTAGTTACACAGTGTTGTCTTTATTACACCTCCATTGTCGAACCTACTGGCCTATAGTTAACATTAGTAACAAGTGCAATTATTTGACACGTGTGCTACATCATCAAATGTGTACAAATGTATAAAATTGATCAGAGATGAGGTAAAAAGCACAGACGCTGGTTCACAGAGATAATTACCCTTTAGTGGCAAACCATTGAAATGTGAAGACATTTTGAAACAGCTATGAGGTAACGAAGCGTCAAAGCCCTTTACTGACTTTGGCTGTTGGATTCCAGCTCTGATTCACTGATTTCAAACAAATGATTCACAGAGGTTTCAAAGCTTCACAAAGCATGTTTCGAGCGTTCATCACTGGGGAGCCAGACAGCAACATGGTGTCGGCCCAGATCCGGCCCACATGTTGAATTCACATAGTACAAGATGTGGCACGGATCTGGGCCAACACTATGTTACTGTCTGGGGAATCAGTCATTTAAATACAAAATGCAGAACAGAGAAGAGCCTGCTGGCAAAAAAGATAATGTGACAGTGACGGAGCTCGTAATAAAATGAGAATCATCACTGGCTTGGCTTTTAAGAGATGGCGAAAACTGAGGGATCTGAAACATTGTAAAAGCGATGCAGGTATGTTTTTTTTTTTTATTGACTGATAAATTGTTATATTTAGCTCTTGAACAGAGTTCATTTAAATAATCATCTACTGTATTGTGAAGAGTTTTTTCATTATTAGATGTTTTTGGTTGTTTTTTATTGTTGTTTTTGGCGTACTTTTGAGAATATTATTAAAGACCAAATAATTCTGAACGTACATTCTGTAAATGATACTGGAAACAAGTTACGTTACATCGTAAAGAGAAAACCTTGCCAGAAGACAAATTCATGTTCCATATTTGGTAAGAACCCAGTTATACTATTGAACGGTCGTACAACACTCTCTCATTTTCCCCTGAGATGAGAGAAATCTGCCATTTACCTTTTTCACTTCCTCCTACAATCAAGCAAAAATTGAAATTTTACGTCATTGTAGGAGGAAGTGTAAGATAACACAGTCTCATCCGAAGAAGTCAAATAACTGACGTCTTTTGACCATACGTCAACATCAGCCTTTTTAGGGTACCCTTAAACGTCGGTTAGTTGACGATCCCGGGCCGTCATACAACTGACGCTTTACCTTTTAACGTCAGGTGACGAGGTAGGTTTAGGGGTAGGTTTACAGTAGGTCTGGGGTAGGGTTAGGGTCCGATAACGTCATCTAACCGACGTTTAAGGGTACCCTAAAAAGGCGGATGTTGACGTATGGTCAAAACACGTCCCAAGACGTTGGTTATATGACGTCTTTGGATGAGACTGTGCTGTGTAAGAGGGGGGGATTTCTGTAAAGACTATAAGCACTAGTTCCCACCCTTTCAAACCCACCCATAGGGGGTTGGACCTAATGCGCTAACAGACCTTTCACAGATCAGTGTCAGTGATTTCACTGGCAGAAACTTTTTTTTAAAAATGAACGAAGGTATTGAATACTAGGGGTGTGCAAAAAAATCGATTCACATTTGAATCGCGATTCAATCTTTACCGATTCAGAATCGATTCATAGAATTCCAAAAATCGATTCATAGGCTATATTTTTTAATGGCGTGCAGGGGCGGAGTGGCAATCGGGTAAGTCGGGACTTTTACCGGTGGTCCGGTAGTGTTTCTATGGTTTCGAGGCTGCGAGGGCCGGTCTGATAAATAGTTATTGCAAGTTCTTGCCGCCCGCTGGTCAAACTGTGCAGCCACTCTGCTCAACACGTAAATAAATGCATCGATCCGCAGATCTTATGTTTGAGTTCTGTAGATCTTTTGCCAAGCGTGTCAGAGGTTACGGGTTCTAAACCGCACTCGTATAGTTTTTTCTCTCTCTCATCAAAACCGAATATGTTCATCACGTTTGTGTGCATTTCATTTTGTGATTTCACCGGAGTCTCCACAACGGCGATAGATTGAAGCGCGCGTCCGAGAGAAGACTGCGCGAGCCACAGAGAACACTGTACCCATGACACTGATTGCAGCGGACACGAGCGCTCAGCTTGATTTCAAAAACAACAGGTCTCTTATTTAATAGCGACCTAAATGAATGCTCTGCTAGTTAACTGGAGATAGGCTACCCGCAAATTACTCGCCTATGAACGACTTCACTGGATCTAAACAAATCAATCTAACCATAGATGTTACCAGTTAGCGGTGGCTTTTTAAAATCTATTTAAAATATTTTCGCAAGGGTTCTATGAAATTAGTATATATTTTTAGGAAGTTCAATGTGCCCAGTCGAGTTCACATTTCAACAGTCAACCTGGTAGCTGAAGTAGGCCTACTCCTTAAACCACATTTAGCATAATTGTTTGTTTGATCTGACTATAGCACTTTAAAGCTAAATGTAAAAGCTTTTTATTTAAGTTTTATTTTAAACTTGAATTAAATGTATTTAAAAGCTGGCCAAAGCTTGGCACTTCGCACTTTTTAGTTGCAAAAGTTTTTATTTTTGTATGAAGACATATAAAGTAATATCAAACTTTTCTTTTAAATTATGTCTAGGCTACTGCAATCAATCACATAGGAAAAAGTAAACTACATTTATGTAGACCTGCGAATCGTTTTTTGAATCGAGAATCGATTTTGAATCGAATCTCGAGACAAAAAATCGGTATCGAATCGTGACATTTTCTGAATCGTGCACCCCTATTGAATACGCAGACGGATGCATTATGGAGGATTGGGATTACACATAGTGTCAGCCATCTTTTTTGGAAGGTAAGCTAGCAGGCTCTTGTTCTGTGGAGAAAACTGAGGAGTAACTTTAGAGGTTACCGTCCTCTTTTTCCCGGACATGTCCGGCCATCGATGTCCGGGATTCAGCTTTTGCTTTCTGCAGTCGCCATGCATTGTTTACGTGCACACCTTTTGATTCAGTCTAACTTAATTCATTCTGATTGGTGAATCTGAATGTAGTGTTTACATGAACGCTAAAAAAAGTGATTGATGTTGATGTGCGTTTTAACATTGCTTAGAATTTTCCCGTTCCTCCGTGAGAGATACGAGACCGGTGTGTCTCACAGGTGTCGCTCATCGGTAATTAGGGATGCACCGAATATTCGGCCACCAAAAATTTTCGGCCGAAAATGGCCCAAAAGTGCATTTTCGGTTTTCGGCCGAAAGACTTTTATCACCGAAACAATACGGCCGAAATGTTGTGATGACGCAAACAGAAACCGCGACCTGCACGTGCTTGTCTGAAGCAACATGTTTGCGGTGCGGACGTATTTCAGTGAATCTGAACCCGCGAGGAGACGGAAGCCTTGTTTATCCACCTATATCTGCTCTAAACAATGCGCGCCGCCATGACAACGACTCCGGATGCGAGCGGGTCAAGTATAAACTGTGGAGACTCGCACTGCGGAGGTAGGCGAAAGTATGCGCGAGTCTCCTCAGACAGCGCGCGCACCGCTCCAAACGGTCGAGGCGTGTATACTGGACCCGCTCTCCGTTGTACTATTCCTTGAAACGACAGGGGACGACTCAAGTAACTGTCCTCTAACCATTAGGAATCGGTGAGAAGAAGAATAATCATGTAAAACCCAGTAAACTCTGAGATTATTACTTGTGTGACATTACAAAAAAATATATATGGGAACATGTATGTATAGAACTAAATTAATGCTCTCTTAAATATTTTCTACATTCACTAAACATGTTTCGTTAAGTTTCATGTACATTTGTATTAATCATGGACCTTTGTTCATTTAAAAAGGCTTTTTATGCTATTGTATGCTAAATTTTTAAAATGTAAGAAACTAATATAGACGTGCAAAGGGTGCTGGTGTGATGAGAAGTAGTTCGCACTCGGCTTTGTTTTTATGAGAGAACATTTAATTTTAAAACCTTTCTGCAGGCCATTAGATTATTATTTAATGTACACATGAGTGGGGTCAAAAACATTTTACTTTGAATTTTATTTTATACTGTGCATTGTGCTAAATAAATATTTGCATAATTTGTAATTGATTTATTCTTTGAAAATTTTATATTAATTTATGCAATTGCAATGCCTTGATTTTAGTAACGTTTGTACACAGTCATAGCCATAAATGCAATGATAATGATAATTGGCATAATTTCTTTCGGTGTTTCGGTTTTCGGTTTTCGGCCTTGGTTTCCTCTTTTTCGGTTTTCGGTTTCGGCCAAGAATTTTCATTTCGGTGCGTCCCTATCGGTAATCACTCCACCGGCCTTGCGCCATTCTCCTGCAGCCCTCACTTGTCCTGCTCGCCACAGTAAACATGATGAATGGCGACTATAGAACCCAATAGCCGAATCCCGGACATTTTGGGCGATCTCGAAACACATTTTCGGACAGACTCATCACAGA